AAATCAAACGTAGGTATTACACCTTATAAATCTAACTACCACTGAGATAAAATGTATCAGTTGTTTTGTAACAGAATAACTGGAACTGTTCTTGGCAGCCATAACAATTTGAACAACAAGAAATAACCGACACTATGTATAAAATCCACCTAGGTGGCGAACGTGCTGCTCCCGAACGATATGTAAAACTTCCATTTCACACCACATTCTATGCACCTATAATATATCACCGCCACATTGCCGGTTTCGGATTTCACATATTTTGAACAAACTTTGATAATTTACGATGAAAGGGCGGTTATTCATAGGCAATTTCTTCTACACGTCATTTAAATAGCTAGTTCTTTTACGGCCTTATCGCGGCGCAGACTGGGTTTCGCTCTCGATATCCCCGACACCGATTATTCTTACTGACTGGTGCATATGAGAACACAGAAGTCTAGTTATTTGTTTTTTATACGCTAATGCAAAGAAGGAGTATTTCTTTCGACAACTGTTCCCAGTTTATGCATTTGTTTTTACGTATTACAGTCTGTCAAATCGGAAGGAGCATTCGAATTAAGTGATCTAGTTGCTCTGGGGTCACCTAAATCGAAAGCTCATTATTGAACTTATTGTATTTTCGCTTTTTCTCAATTTTTGTATTGGGACATTTCTGGGTTAGAGAGCAGGCTCTGGTAAACAGCAATATACACGATGCAAGCAAGCACAAACTTCAGTGTCCGGCGACAAATAGCAGCCGGCTTAACACTCCCTAGGTGGCCGACGTAGGGTACACCCAACACAACTCACTGCTATCGCGATCTGTATGTATGTGATCTTCGACTACTGTTGCTGTTGCTATAGCCCGGTCGATCTACCTTTCAAAAATCGACATACATGAAATTAACACTTAAATATCATAGAATATTACACCCCAACGACTTCTATAGTTAAAGATATACAGTGCCTGTATTATCTAGCTGTGGCACGCTTTTAAACAAAACGTGTATCTATTAGTCCAATTAACTAAGCCTTTAAATCGAAATTTTGTCAACTTGGCTGAATTTTTGATATGAGTTAGTTTAAGGTATATTATAACAATAAGTGAGAGTAATTTTTTGTTCAACCCCCGGCCAAGGGTGGAAAAAGATAAAACAAAGGGCTTTTTCAAGATAACTCAAAAAGGGTAAGAGCTAGAAAAAAAAGTTTTTCATGAAAGTTGTAAAGCAGACAATTCTACATAAAAATGGTCTCTTAGCTTTTTCTTGTACTATTAAAATTAACATAGTTAGGGAGGCTAGAAGTTAAGGGAAGATTTCAGAAATTTAATTTTGTTAAATCATTAAAATTAACGATTAAAAATTAGATTTTTTGTTATAACTTTCTTATTAAAAATTAAAAAATATATCTATTTCTCTGAAAAGAAAAGTTACATATTTTAGAGCAGATTGAAAAAAAAAATTACAAAATTCAATCATTTTTCTGTTTGTTATGATTTTTTTTAAATTTCTGAAATCTTCCCTTAACTTCTAGCCTCCCTAACTCTGTTAATTGTAATATTACAAGAAAAAGTTAAGAGGCCATTTTTATGTAGAATTGTCTGCTTTACAACTTTCATGAAAAACTTTTTTTTCTAGCTCTTACCCTTTTTGAGTTATCTTGAAAAAGCCCTTTGTTTTATCTTTTTCCACCCTTGGCCGGGGGTTGAACAAAAAATTACTCTCACTTATTGTTATAATATACCTTAAACTAATTCATATCAAAAATTCAGCCAAGTTGGCAAAATTTCGATTTAAAGGCTTAGTTAATTGGACTATATATGGGGAGTTCGAATTTAATTTAATATTTAGCTTCTAGACCGGACTATGCCCACTAACTCCTGGCCTATTGCGGAATGCATGCCCTCTCATCCACACAGCAAACATCAACCGCTATCTAAACACCTAGCCGTTTCCGATTAGACGATTTAAAGCCTTAACAGCGCGACATTGGACTTGCAATTTATACCGAACACACTGGTCAGAACGAAAGATTAACAGACATGGCAGTAAGCTCGGTTTTGTGGTGTTTGAGGAAAAATTCAGTGTTAGATAACGATGTCCATGTAAAGTTTCCGTGTGTGGGTAATGCAGAGATCTGTAATGGGGCTGGTTCGGCTTTTTTGACAGATTTACAGACAGATTTTTGACAGAAGAATATGGTCCGTTATTAGTTTACACATTTAAAATAGAGTTTAAAGTTCGGAACTTCAAAAATATCTTGTTTTAATATGTGATATTTAGTATTTCACTTCAGTTACATTTGAAATATAATGTAGTTTCAGTGAGACATTTGTTGGTTAATTTGTGCTTAAAATAGAGTAGTTTACTAACTCGACGCAGCAGTTCTATAATCAAAGCAATAATTTCCCTATAAAATTTATTAAGAACAGTTGGGAAGCAAGTCAAATATGCGACCAGGAATAGAACGAAACAAGAAAAGTATATCCACCTCTATAATGGTGTAAACATAAATGCAATTAGGTTTTTTTTCAAATGAAGATAAAGAATGTCATTCTCGTTAAAGGTAGTTATTGATGTATCATGGTTTGTCATACGCTCAGCAAAAGAATTAAAGTAGAGTTATGGGCGAAATTGACACGGGAATTTAGTTCTTTCCTCGCGCTGTCCCCTGTTATTTTTAATCTAACCCTCATTAAAATTCAAACACTAAAACGGCTCCGTGAAATATAAATGAAACTAGAGACTAGGAAAGCCACATATCTTGTTAGGAAAATTTACATTTTTATTGTCTTTTTTAATGAAAACGTAAATGAAAAGCATTAAAAAATAACTACCCCGGAGAATAACGTCGAAATTATGCATCCGTCCTCCATTCCTCACATACTTATTTATTCATGATTGGAATGAAACGGTTTTAATCAACTTCTGTGCTGTTCCAATATTTACAGGACTTTTTCCCCGTTTCGTCATTCCCGTCCAGGTTTTACATTTATCAGATGCTCAAGAAAAAAAACATTTGAAAGAAATACATGCTTTGATCGCTATTACTAATACATCGTCGAATCAGGGCAGTAAGGGTAGCAAAACATTATGTTTTCAGCGAGAAGCTGCTACTGTACTCCAAGAATAATATAAACAATAAACCACAGTAATAAGAGCACTATGAAAACCACAGTAATACTGAATAAAGAAGCATTTGTCATATCAAACACTATAGTAGCGAAAGCTGGAATATGTAGAAGTTTTTGTGCAAGATCTATGAATTTTGTATTTATTTAGATATTAGAACTATCGCTGGAAATAGTTTTCAAGTTCGTAGCTCGGCCGCCAGGGGTCGCAAGTTGAAACGCATTTTGTTTTGGTAATTACCTAAATATCTTCGTTAGCGTCGTGATCCTCAATTCATTATCATTATTTATTCTTTGCTCACTAATTTGAGAGCAAAAAAATTGTTTCGTATTGTTTTTCGATATTATGGCGAATGCGCTGGGAAAGAAAATCGTATTTTGCAACATCGCTTTAATTTTTTTATATCTGCTAATAGAAATCCTCTATACCTCTCCTCTTCTAAATTCAAGGTTGAAAATATTATAAATTTCAAGTTTTCGTTCTATGATCTGTTTGTTTTTAAAGAACATGACGCCAATGTTAATTTTTTTAATATCTCCCAAGATTAATCGACATATAGTATTAAAATTTGGTAGACACATGTATTGCGAGTCCCTAAATAACCTGGTTTGATTAGTTATTAATTTTTAAATAACTTATACAGGGTGTTTATTATGCTGCAAACCAGAGAAATCACCACTTCACTATGTACTTTTTAATTATGTCCCAAAAATGTACCCTTGTCCAAATTCGCTAAACCACCTCGTTTTCGACAAAATGAACTTATTATTTAACAGTGTTTTATTTCTGTTCAACTAGTTTTTTGTTCAAGTAGTTATTTGTTGAAGAAGTTTTTTGTTCAAGTAGTCGTAGTTTTTTGTACAAGTAGTTTTGTTCAAATAGTTTTTTTGTTCAAGTAGTTTTGTCCAAGTAGTTTATTGTTCCAGTAGACGTATTTTTTGTTCAAGTAGTTTTGTTTAAGTAGTTTTTGTTCGAGTAGTCTCAGTTTTTTGTTTAAATAGTTTTGTGCAAGTAATTCTTTGTTCAAGTAGTTTTTTATATAAGTAGTTTTGTTCAAGTAGTCGTAGTTTTTTGTTCAAGTAGTTTTGATCAAGTAGTTTTCTGCACAAATAGTTTTTTATTCAAGTAGTTTTGTTTAAGTAGATTTTTGTTCAAGTAGTCGTAGTTTTTTTTTTAATAGTTTTGTTCAAGTAGTAGCTTTTTGTTCATGTAGTGGTAGTTTTTTGTTCAAGTAGTTTTGTTCAAGTATGTTTTTTTGTGCAAGTAGTCGTATTCTTTTGTACAAGTAGTTTTGTTCAAGTACTTTTTTGTTTAAGCACTTTTGTTTAAGTAGTTTTGTTCAAGTAGTTTTTTGCTCAAGTAGTTTTTTGTTTAAGTAGTTTTGTTCAAGTAGTTTTATTCAACTAGTTTTGTTCAATTTTTACAAACTATAAAATAATATTGCTCATTAAAATAACTTCTATAACTTCTAAAATATTATATTCATAAATTTATATTATTCACTCAGAGCACAAGTTATACAAAATTTTATATTTTGATCTATTGCCTTGAATATCAAAAATCATTCGAGTTTTATTTGTACCACAAAGCTAAGCTCCACAAAAAAAATGTATGGGGCACTCCGGAATTTCAATCAGAATGAGGTGCCCTGTACATGCAACAGTATAAATTTTATAGACCTGTTATATTGTATCCTCACTAAAAATCTTATCGCAGATTGTAAATAGTTTAGTTGTACTTCTCTACCGTGTGAGATAATTAAGTTTTTCTCAGAAATGATTTGAATTGCATGTTTAACCAGAAGAATATAAAATGAATAACATCGAACAGCAAGTGAGAATTTATTATTAATTTTTATAATGAATCATCGTAAAAAATGATTAATCATTACATGAATCCTTTATCTACAGCATGTTTTATTATAAATGCCACTCTCTTGTTCCTTGGGACATCATCGAATGGAGAAATGTCCCATACTTGCTCCAAGGGGACAGGTTCGTCGCCCTAAAAAGGTATTAAGTTATACCGTAAGCGCAACTGAATTTATTTTGTTTAAAATTATATGAAACCACTAGCAGAATATCCAGAACCACCACCACAATCTTGAGCTGTTTAGATTACTAGACTAATTAAAAAAAAAAACTGATCTTACTTGAATTGTGTCCAAGTCTGGCACCTCGTGTTCTTTCAACGAGGACATCACTGTGCTCTCCATTGCCATGGCAAGACCGAGCTGGCCATTTTTTTGTATGTCTTCCTTAAGATCGCCCAGAGTGATCAAGTTTGGATCACAACCCAATTCTCCAATCCTTTTTGAAAGTTGTCTGTGGTACTCATCCACTAGGTTGTCCCATTCTTTGAGGAGTACCTCCTGAGAGATACAACTGTATAGGAATTGAATCAGATCTCCTGTAATTGAAGCGTACCTGGAAAATAACAGAAATTGGTTAGTGAAATGAAAATAATAGCTGCGAGTTTACCTGGCTAGCTGAAAATCGATCAGAATTCCATTTACTGGTCTTCCATTTTGAAGTTTCACCAAAAAATTTGGAGTCCAAACATCCCCCTGAGTTACTGCCAACAGTTTGCTTGGAGGTCCTTTAGCTAACTTACACACTAGCCTAGACATTTATAAAAATCGTTAAATTCAGTCATTCCTGACTATATAAATATAAATCCAAAAATAATACTTTACAATAGTTTTTCTTAAACTCTTACCCATAGGAATCGCTAGAGAAAAACTTGTTAATCTTTTCTAGATACACAGAATCTAGTTGAGTTCTAACCGCATTTCGTATTACTTCATTTAATTTATTTTCCATAAATCCTGAATACCAACTTCTGAATCTTTCATCAAAATAGGTTTCCTTAAATAAAATATAATTTCATACAATCATAAACATTTTAGTATGTTCATAAAAGTTCAAATACTCGAAATACCTTCAAGGATCTGGCGACTTTTTCAAACTCAGGATCCAGATGTCTGGCCGCGATAGAGAGCGCGTGAAAATTTGCTAGTAATTTCAGAAACAACAAGGCATAGTCCTGGTCAATTCCTATATCTCTTTGAACCGTTTCATAGCCCTCAAAACTTAAATCTTTTAGAGCGACATAGTCATTTTCACCGTTAGAAAAAGACGATAAAACCCTACAATCAACAAGTCGATATATCCCTCAAGCTGTTGGCCACTTTTTATTATTTTACTCATGTTTCGAATGAAATAAACTACTTACATTGGAACTTCGTCAGCTTCGTCGAAGTTTTTAGAATCTTTTAACTTTTTCATCAGAGGCCACACCTAGAAATATCTCTTGAAATTTTGGTACATACCAAATATTAACTTACGTTGTTGTAGAAATTAACTTCAGTCTGAAAAAAATCTAGGGATCGAAACGTTTTCCTCCTTGCCACGTTTTTTGGAATACCTTTCGCTATGACGTGTAAACGAATATTTTTATCTCTAAAAATGAGAAAAAATACAATTATTCCCGGTACAGATGCGATTAGATATAATCAGAATTCTACATTTTCTAGAATTAATCATAGAATTAATTTTAAAGAATTAACTTTCTTCTTTAATGATGCAGGCTGTTTTTATAATAAATAGATATAAAAATGTGTATTTTAAATGAGCGAAACTAGACAATTATTTAATTCAAAATATTTGTTTTAAATAAGTAGATACATGCTTTTACTTTTAAAACGCTTACTTTTCCTGGGCTTCCGCAACTGCTTCGACGGTAAACCTATAGATGGTGCTCAAGTAAGAGTCTCCCTTTTTCTCGGAACCGTTCCCTGCCTCAATCGAAATAATAACAACGGCGTCACTTCCACTAACATTCCTCAAACACTCTTTCAATTCCTCCTCGGTAAACTTTACCGAAATTGTGTTTAATATGTCAAACATTTTGCAACGTTTTACTTAACAGCCACTGTTAACAACTAAATGTTACAACAATAAAGCGGCAAATATATGTACAATAGCTGCTGAATAAATTGGTCAGTTCTAGATAATAACCAACGAGTTCTGAACACGTCAGTAAACAAACCCGGTACGTGAACGATCGAAGAGAACGGCGAATTACATTCACGGAAGGATCAGCTGATGGTAACCATTGGAAGTGCTGAAATACTGGATTTTTAAACAATGAACTTGGTATATCCGTTAAGATAACTGCATAAAGCTTTGAAATTATCTTACTACTTTCTATGGCTGAAGAAACCCTCAAACCTCAAATATCTGATAATATAGTTACATTTTTTTTAAATCAGATATTAATACGCGTAAAATATAAAGCTAATTAATAATAAATTTGTAAATAAAAGATATGTATACAACTTATATTTATTTTACGTTATATGCATGTAAAATCCATTTAGGGACAGAAACAAATAAAAATTACAAATTAAGTATAACAGTAATAATTTTATTTTGAAACTGCTTGTGCGTTTTCAGTAATAAAAAAATTCGGTATGGTGGCAAACGCTACGTTTCCTTGTAGCCACATTGATCGAAGCAACAACAGAAATATACTCCCAGACGAAGACGATTTATTCAACGTCTATAAGTACTGGGAACATACATCTTCGAATGCTGCTTCTTCTGTACATATTCCTGCAGAAATCCTCCTGAAAAAGAATTAAAAGTATGTTTATATCAGGCTCAACAAAAATGTACAATATTACTAATAAACACATAGTTTTCGGGATACAGGGTATGGATTATTTTTTAACTAAAACGGCATTATTAATTGATGTTATCCATCACAGTGTACAAATCCAGGGTATCGTTTGGGTGAAATCCGTTAAATTAGCCGCTGTTTTCACAGTGGTCTACGCGACATCTATCCACCGGTAATTGTATTATATGGAAATACGAAAATTTCTATGGGAATGATACAGTAGGAATTATTTAATACAAATATATTCTGACAGATGGCAAAACCAGAGGAAATTAAGTTTTATTTGTGTAAAATATTAATTTTAACGATATGTAGAATATTTATTATTATACAATATATTTAAATTAGCTGAACAAATTGTATTGATTAATTCGTCGAACTAACATTAATGTAAATTCTGAAGGAATGCTATAGACGCGACATCTATTATGTAGCGGTGGTATTAAAATTTTTCAGGTTCCCTTCGATAAAATAGGGTGCGCATGCTGCGATACAGCACGTCAATATTTTATTTTTCATATGTCGATATATTTTTTTACATAACTAATGAAAATAATAATGAATTTTGTTATTAAACTCCACTTTCCCTGCTTTTTTGGTAATTAATTTGTAGCAGTTACGTTAATAGTAGTTCTTGACAGATATCTACTATAGTTGGCGACATCTATGACGCAGCAGTAGAATTAACTGTGGGAAAAATTTTACAGATTTCGTTCCATAAAATAGAGATGATAGAGAGAGATATGAGATTTTGAGATGTGTTTAGTGTATTTTACAATCAATATTGTATTTTTATCACAAAATAAACAAACTAATGGAAATAATTATGAAATTTGATTTTAAACCTTACTCCCCTTTATAATAAATCTAAGATAGCCGGAAATAGGTAATTTCATTGCATTCAAACTTAGAAATTCAATTTTTGACCAAATCACAACACCGTAAGAAGAAAAAAATAGGAACTATTAATTAATAGTCAGTACTCACTTCCAGTTGTCAATAAATTAATATACACACATGACATTTTGAGCCACTTTTACTAATTTTTATAAAGTGTTAAATGTTTTCTACTTGTACCGAGAGCCGCAGCTCAGAATCATATTACCAACAACCTAGAATCCATGAAATCTTACATATTAAATGCCCCATCATAGGTCTGGTTAGGTTCCAAATGAATAATATGGAGTACAGACTGTCGGAGAGCGTAGACATGGTTCAGAGGTTGGAGTAATATCGTTTACTTTCAAAATTCAGCCGTTACTGAAGTAGTCTGTTTTTTTCAGACGTAAGAAATGGACCTACAGGCTTTGGAGGAACAGGTGGACTATAATAAGTTTCATTTTTATGATGCTCTTAATGACGAGTCTCTTTCTTTACGGTACCTTGGTCGGAGCAGGCTTGTGTTCTGCCGGTTCCTGGAGCCCTTCTTATAATTCACCGTGTCCGAAAACTTTTACTTTCTTCCCCTTACTGAATACCGCTACATCACCGAGGCCACCATTTTAAAGCTAACATACATAAATGTAATTTTTTATCGTGTACTAATAAACAATTATTTATATAACTTATATAAATCTTCTTTTCTTTTACGGTAAATGGTCATTATTTTTTTTTTCATTTAAATTCTATTCAAATTAAACACTAGTTCTCAAAAGGCAGAATATGTCCATATTTTTTGCTAATTACGATCCTTTTTATATTAATTAATACATCTTAAAGCCTTTTCTAATAACGTACGTGCTTAGTCGAAAATAAATATTTATCTTTGTCTTAAACCATTTAGTTTGCCAAAATTATTTCTGGAGAGCAACAAAATTAGATTTAAAATATCAGTACCACTGAATATTAGATGATATAAAACATAAGTATTTTTTTTTGTTTTGAGAAAGAAAAAAAAAGTTTAAAAAATCATAACCTTACTTTTTCAAGTTTATAAAAACACATTTATTTTATTCCATTAATGTATTACACGGATTAATTTGGTGAAACAATTTATAACACTGAAATTCATAAGAGGCTATTTAAATCTACGACCTTATCAAGGTAAATACAAAAATAAATTAATAATGGGATACGGTTACGAAATAAAAATATCAAAACTTCACTTTTCTTCACACCATTCATTTTCCTTACGAACCTGTTCCTCTTCAGAAGCAGTAAAATCATTCTTAATGTTAAATGTTTTACGTATCTCCTCGGGTGCTTTGCCTTTGATCATGTTCGCAACGGTCTTGCAAGTCACGTCGAGCAGTCCTTTGATATCCAGATAGTTAGCTGATAGTATGAGTTCGAACAAAGTACCTTGATCGACTTTCAGAAAGTCGGCATCCCAGGAGGAGATATCATCGGTTCGCTTTTCTTTGTTTTCGTCGTCTTCTGGTGGAGGTGGATCATCTTTGTGATAAGTAGCCCATTGTATAACCTTACGCAAAATCGCGGAATTCACGTTTGGCAAAGGTACTACTTCTTCCTCCTCATCGTCCATACCTAGATCTTCTAACATGGTCTTGATCGTTACGGAGCATTTTGCTATCTCGACGTCCACCTCAAAGGTTTCTCCGTCTGAAGACTGCAATTTGATGTTGGGCATCTGAAAATTGCAAATGGTTTCTTTTCAAACAACACACATATATTTATGATTAGATTAAATCCACTCCAATGTGCAAATAATAGAGTTAAAGTACATATTATACTTACTTTTTATAAATTGTACGATTGAATAAGCTTGAAATTATTTGGCCTGAGAACAATTTGACAGCAGAGCAAAAACAACAGCGACTTCCACAAGTCTACAGACAGCCAATCCAGTTTGTTTCCAGGGCTCCACGCATGCGCGTTTCTTATTATGACGTAAGCCATAGGTAACTTTAATAACAACATTTTTATAGTTTAGACTTTTTTTAAGTAATACATGAAAAAGGAACGTAACTTATTTGTTTAAGTTCTTGTTATTAAAAAACCAAAAAAGCGCGCATACTAAGAGAATCGAAGCAAAGTGGATTGGTTGTCTCTAGACGTCATCGGGACTTGTAGGCGCCACAGCGACCTCTGTCCTCTAGGCGAGGCGTCCAGGCGAATGACGATTGCAATAACTTACGCGCTATTTTCAAACTTAACTAGATTGTGGTATTCTTTGTTAAACGCTGTTTACTACATTTACTCGGAAATATAATCGAGTTCATTAAGTTCTTCAATTGGATTAAAACGAGTAAACATAAATAAAGATGAGATAACTGAATTATCATACTAATTGATTAACTGGTACATACATTTTGAATAATTTCGTTCGGAGACACTTCAACCACAAACAAGACGCTATGCGCAAGCCTTGTGAAATAAAAGCGGGTTATATAGTTCAAGATTTGATTCTTGTAGTCACTTTTACTGGAATCTGTGCAAGAAATAAAATTCCCATTTTCCAGTTACACTCTTTCTAGCAACAAAAATGGTAAGTTACAATTTTCCTCCATTTCGAATTCTTGTCTTTGAAAAATATTTTTCTTTGTTGCTGAATTGCATTTTTAAAACATTTTTGAGGCATGTTATATGCAGATAAATTTTTATCATACAATTATTATGATGCAAGGTACATAGGAACAAGGGTGTATAAATAAAGGTGTATCTACTCAAAATGATATAACTAACTGAAAATATATATTTATTTCCATACGTGAAAAAGAATAAAGCTCTTTCTTGAAAATTGCTAAAACACTGCTACTCTTTGATAATTATGTATTATTTATAAAATTACAAATATGATATTATTGCTTCAAAGTTGCAGATTTATGTGTTCTCTATATTTTGTTAATGTCAGTTTCTTTTAAACTATTATTGTTTTAATACAAGTACATGCGCTTTATATATTGGGTTTGGGATATAACTTTTGAATAGCAGACGTAAACAATTTTATACCACTAAAAGATATTTTCTTATTTTAGAATACCTGTTTCGAAAAACATATATATTTTTTTCTCTGTCTAAAATTGGTATCCTATACATTATAATAAAATATAGAATGTTATTGATAGTGTGATATTTTGTCTCACATTACTATCTGTTTTTATAAATGTCCTTATGATAAACTAGTCTGAAAATATTCTCTAATATGCACAATTTTCAACAAAAATAAATAAATAAAATAAGTAATGCCCCATGACCTGTACTACTAGATCATGATATTCATAATTCCCCCTTCTGACAATTTTCAACTGTTTTCCATGACCTACTTTACACATTTCATGTGTTGTCTTCGTACGAGAACTGGATATTAAGCATGTTTTGAATATTTTGGACAATACATAAACAAGCATGCACATCGCAACTTTATTTAAAAAGATAAAGTAAATATGTATATGAAAACCAGGACTTTCGAGGTTTTTACAGCAAAATTTGTAAAATTAATGGTTTATTGATGAGGAACAATTTCTTTGGAAAACTGTTTTATTCCCGTGTTTTTTTGTAAACAATTTTTTTAAATATGGGTAGAATATCTGTGAGTATATTTAATTATTTAATAATACAGAACTTAATTTATAGTAGATATATTTTTTTATGATTAATTCACACAGTAGGTATTGTACGAACATGTTCTTTTCATAAAATATGATTAGCCGTTTTCCGCAAATATCGAATGTAACTATCGGCCAGAAAAAAAAGTTGTAACCAATTTTATGTCTCACCTCAAACTAACGTAGATATCAAAGCAATCAGGCGTCTATACTTTCACTTATTGCTAGTAATTTCAAAGAACTTGATTATGTCACCTAATCTAACATTCCTGCGAGAATATGTATACACATATTTCCAACAAAAGTTGTTAATTAAAGCAAACAGAGTAACTTATTGATTATAAGCAGAGGAACATTGTGCAAACATTACTAATATACAAAATTTGTTTACCTTGCCTTGTAATCTAGCTACATGGATATAAATTTCGATCTACATCAAAACATGAAGGAATAGTAATATTCTGAAAATAAAATAATATTTCATATAGGCACTCCTACAAACTATAACCACAAATACAAATGAACCCAACATTTTCCCACAGGACAACAAAATCACTTATGTGTTTAGGTTAAGCGAAGTAGGGGCTTTCAATTTAGATGATCTGTCAAATCCTATGCATTTATGATTGAATATCTGAATTATTTAATTGAAAAACTCCCTAAATTGTGTTTTAATAATTAACTAAAATTATTATATCAGTATAAATTAGTAAAACAATAATGACTCATCTGAATTTTTAATAATATTGTATGTTTTTTATTTACTTGTAATTTCGTTAAAGAAGGTAGTTAAGTAAATACATTCCGCGTGATATCACGTCCCAAAGATGATTTTCAATAAATTTGTTTGTTTTGCGGAGAAATTTTCTCATTTTAAGAATACTGCTTTTATCTAAATGTTATTATTTGCTAATCTTAACCGAGTCTGTTTGTTTGCAGGGTATTATCTTTGAAAACACAAGTGCGAACTACAGGAAACTTTTCTTAGTCATTGCACTTCTAGTCGCGCTGTCCGAAGTAGCAACTGCTCAAAGAAAGATCGATTGCAGGTGAATGTTTGCTAAATTACTTCATTCTTTTGGTTCTTTGATATAAAATTTTTACAGTACCTAACTACTTATAAATGATTTAAATTTGAATTCCGTTTTAGAAAATTCGTATTCGCGCCTCCCTGCAGAGGAATCGCCGCTAAAAGAGATACACACTCGCATCCAAGCGATATCAGGTAATCTAAATCTTGTAACATGTCTGGGACTTAGATGTTTTGATTTCGATTACTATTATTTGGAAATGAGACCAAATCTACCAACTTATACAAAAAACTTACAATTTGTTCAATATTTTTCAGGATTACTCCTGCAGATGATAGTGATTACATTATTGATGGTCAAAAAGTAGTCTCAAATGATAATGTAAGTATTTAATAACATGATATAAAAAAATTATTGTAAAAACAACCAATAAATTATTCATTTTAAAGTCTAGAAGGGTATTATCCAATTTGTCTCAATACAGGTTTTAAAAATTGAACCTTGTCTGCACTATAACGGAATATTTTCCATGTCACATGTTCCAACTTTATTTTATTATTTTACAGTACGCCACCGTCAATGAGCTCTTAAGATTTTTAAAAAAGGCAATGTCGAAAAACCTTGAATACGACTCAAGCAGTAACGACTTGGCGTAAATGGAAATCTCATGTGGCACTCCTACGAACAGTATTAAATGTATTTTGTTATTTATTTCATATTTATTTATTTAATTGCTAAACTCAAATACAAATAAAAAAGTCAGTATGTAAATGTGTTTTCTGGTTGTTCCCCTCCCAAATTCCTTAAAATTACGTAAAATTAAAAAATCTGTTACATTAGTGTTCAAATCAAATAATATTATACAGTATCCCACATTATGACATTACTTTTTTTGAAAATAATTAACCAGCCTCGTACAATCAAAATAATGATTTACGCACCAAAATTTTAAATTATTATATAAAACCACACAGTTATACGTAGTGGAAAGCACAGTATAATGTAAATAAATAAAGACACACACTTTTTACAAATTTTGTTTGAGGAAGAAGTATTGGCGAGATATTATTGTGACCATGGAAACTACCACATACACCCAGAAATCAGGAGCACGAACTCCATGTAAACAAATATCTTACCAAATTTGAGGGCGCTAGGCGCTAGTATCTCATATACCCCGAAATAGAGTAGGGTGATAAAGAAAACGGCAGTTTGAATTAAAAATCATTTCGATTTTGTGATGTGTTAAATATTTTAAAATAAATAATGTAGGCTACTTTGAATTAGACAAATAAATTAAGAAATAATAACGACTTGTGTGTATACAGGCAGTGGCAACGTTTGTCAATCATCCGCATTTGAGAGGAGGAAGAAGAAAAATAACCTCACTTCTTAAATATTTGTTTTGTTTATATCTATCATGAAGGAAACCTTGCTATAGTGAAAAACTAAGAATGCCGCCAGTGAAACTGTCGACAAATAACTCTAATGCAGGCGATGTAAGTGACAACGAAGCATCAGGAAATGAATCCGAACACTCGAACTCAAGCCGCGAAAATGATGGGGGCCACGACTCCACTGAAGATGAGCCCGACTCCGACGACAGCTCTGAAATGGACGAGGGCGAATGTGAAAACCGCCGTAACGCGTTACTCCAACACGTACAAGACTTGGAAAGTCAATTCGGACTATTACGAGAACAGTTGTACAAGGAACGAATGTCACAGGTAGTTATATTTCCCCATGTATAGTACTAACAGTTAAAGTACTTGTTTTAGGTTGAATTGCAACTTGCCGAGATTAAATCGGGTAAATCTCCAGAATACTTGGTGCCATTGTCCGAGTTACAAGAAAACATGCGAGTCCGCACAGAAGTTGCCGGAATCTTGAGAAAACTACGTTTAGAGAACATCGCGAATCAGTACGAAGCGGAAGAACAAGCAGCTTTACAGAACTTTGAGAGCGAAAAGTCCTTGGCGTGCGATTATTACTACAGCGAATTAATGGATACCATTAGGAGACTCGAAGAGGACAGACATAACAGTGAAATTAGTTGGGGCGAGGGAGGCGAGTATGGCTCGAGGTCACGTTCTCGTTCACGAAGAAAAGCGGTTACTGTCTCCGGGCCATATATTGTGTATATGTTGAAACCTCAGGATATTTTAGAAGACTGGACTCTGATTAGAAAAGCCTTGAAGAGGTCTCCTTGACACATGGACTTTAAGTATTGTAATTTATTTAAGAGAAACCATTAAAATATATTTAAAACACATTATGAAGATTTAAACAAAACTGTCCCGTTTTCGATTTAATAAAAATAGCAAATATAATCATTTCTTTTATTTTATTCAAAGAAATCAGTATTTTTATTTAAAATAGCTTTTAACTGAGCTTCTTTTATTTTCAAAGTAATTTCGTGTTCTTTTTGTTTCCTATTATCTTCCCGTTCAGCATAAATAAGTTGCTGTTTCTTTAGTTCTAATTCCTGCTTAGCAATTGCAAGCTCAATTTTAACCAACTCCTTTCGAGGATCTTCCAAACTGGTAAAACTTAGTTCACTTTTTTCTGTCTCTTGATTTTCTAATGGCAATTTTTTTGAAATAGGGATTCGTAATATTTTACGCTTTGAAATCTCTTTTGGAGACAAATCATCTCTTTCTGAAAAAAGGCTTGAAATTAAGAAGAAATCTACCATTCTGGAAAACAATTACCTTGATTTTCATCAGCATCTTCACAGTATTCTATAAATATACTTTCTTCTTCTAAAAAATCCTTAGTCACGTCTGTTTTTACCTCTAAAAAAAATAGTCAAAAGCCATCAGATTGGAGGTACTTTATTTACGGAGTTACCTATATCACTATCGTTTGTAGCTGAACACTTTTCGCTAATTAATATAGTAGGGTGTCGTCTTATTAAATGCTTCCTTAAATTTGACGTTGAACTTTTGTAACTAAAATTCAGCTTGCATAAGTTGCAGCAGGCTTTAGTTTCAGCTAATGGCTGAAAAAAATCCCACATTAAGGACCTTTTTCGTCTCGTCATTTTCAGTAATTAGATATAGTTGTTAGGCCTTTACCTAACATTTAAATGGAAAACAAACAAAAACTACACTTTAACTAAAGCGAACTGAAAGTAGGTTATATTTTGATTTTGTTCAACTTCCAACTCCACTGATAAAAACTAACTCCTTCAGATGTTTATTTTTGTTTTTTGGCTTTGACTTTGACTTCTTGACAGTTTTCAGTTTAATGGACAAATTTTGTGTGTACTGTGTATGGCATCACTATCTAGTCTCCATGGGCATCACCATGCGATATAAAGCTATATTTACACGTGACAAATTTCAAACATCTGCGCTACGGTATAATACCAATACGGTTATTGGGATTGTTGTCATAGAATGATGGTCGCCTATAGCAAATTTTTTTGCACACTTCCTGACAGTCCCAACTAGCCAAATTCTTTAAAGTAATATGTTTTCGAATTAAGTCAAAACATGAGTAAAAACAAAATATTATTTAAAAAAAATAAATAATACTATTTTGTGTCATTCTAGAAGAACTTATTTTATTTATTAGTTTACTAATTTGACCATATTACTTGTAAGATCAAACTAATTAAAAGTGTGGCATAAACAAAAGAAATTTAAAAATCTACCTAACTCATCATATATCTACAGAACAGAGATGAATAACTCCTGTTTAGTAAGGTTGACTTACTTAAGACAAAACTTAGGTCACAATTCTTTATTTCCTTCAAACCGGCTAGAAATTGGCCTCAATGATTTGGGATCGAGGGGGATTATCCCTCTTTATCCTGCCTCATCTCGTGTAGGCCTGGACAGCGTCCTTCAAACCTATTTATATATAAAAAAGTAAAATCAAAGAACTTGTAGTTAACATCGGCTGAATACACCCACTTTATTTTTTTACTATGTATGTGGTGACAACAATGGAACATTATTTAAATATTTAGGTCTTTTTGTTTATACGTTGGAGATTTCGGAACTTGAAAATATTTTATATTTATGCTCTGTTAACGTTAGCACACAATATCCGCATTTAGAGCTATTAGAAGTGCGAACCGAAATAAAGCTTTTATGATCACGATCATGAATATCTGGACAAAAGAAAGCGCTCTGCTGATTGTTAGCTGTTCTGTGGTAATTGTGGTATTAGGGCCAACATCGTGTAAACATGATCTTAAAATATTAACTGCCTATTGCCGGTAAATCAGAATTCTGTCTTTCAATTTCTAACTCAGCAGTAGCGCTGACGTCGTCTTTATATTCCTTCTTTTTGTGACATTTACGAAAGTTGGGAGCAGAATGGTATATTTCATTTCTTATTTTAATCATCTGCTATATTTTTTGATATAATATATTGTCAAGTGTACGCAGATAAGTTGCTAATCAATATTTTATATATATTTTTCAGTCTGCCCACAAGACGTTTATAATTAAGCGAAAACTCGCAAAGAAGTTGAAGCAAAACAGGCCTATTCCACAATGGGTTCGTATGCGGACAGGAAACACTATCAGGTAATACGATTTATTATTAGTGAATATCTCGTGTAATACTTATTGTTATAATCTATTTTCACAGTTAATATTATTTTCTAACACTTCACATTAAACATAACCTCAAATTTTTAGTTGCATAAGTCTTATATGCATTTATTTAGTAGTTTATTACTCTAATAAATAAAGAAATAATGCCATAGTCCCTGTTTAACTGTATTAGTTTTCGGTGTAATGGCATAGGTTATTTTTTTTACGTGTGTGTATGATTGATGTTTATTTTTCGTAATGTGTGTAGAATAGAGCTGCTTTTATCGATCCTTTTTTTTCTTCTAGATATAATGCAAAGAGACGTCATTGGCGCAGGACCAAACTAAAGTTGTAAATTGTTACTTCAACAGTTATGAGACTTTTGTATACCTTAAATTAAATAAATAACTTGTCCATAAATTTGATTTTTATTTGTGCATGAATGGGTGAGTAAATAATTCAAGACTCGGATAATCTGTTGTGTTGGTTATCTTTTATTTGAGATATAATATCAGTATAGTATTTACAGTTATTATAGGACGGTGTGCACAAAAAATATACAACTAAATAACAGAAAAAATATTTGGAAGGCACTTTAAAATTCACTTCATAATATATACAAAAACTTAACTGAATAAATAATAGAAATAATTAAATTAATAAAACTTTTTTTATAACAAGAAATTATAATTTAACATTATTAAACTGTTAGGAACAAGCTAAATTATTTTAAAGCTACTGTGTAATATCAATTTCGTTAAATATTATTACAAGCCACTTCCGCTTGGCAAGGCGCCTTGAAACGAGATCACCCACCGCCGTTTTCTGTCCCTCTGGAAGTAATAGCAATTCAAATCGTATTCGTTCGTTTTAACGTGACTAATTTCAAGATGCCCGCAGAAACTTGCCAAGAGAAAAGAAATTTAAAATGTGTTTAAATTGTAGTTTAATTCACTCAAAGCGGAGCCGTTCATTGGAGCAAACAAACATATCTTAAACAACACTCCCTTTTAAAAAATTTCCAATATTATTACAAGCCACTTCCGCTTGGCAAGGCGCCTTGAAACGAGATCACCCACCGCCGTTTTCTGTCCCTCTGGAAGTAATAGCAATTCAAATCGTATTCGTTCGTTTTAACGTGACTAATTTCAAGATGCCCGCAGAAACTTGCCAAGAGAAAAGAAATTTAAAATGTGTTTAAATTGTAGTTTAATTCACTCAAAGCGGAGCCGTTCATTGGAGCAAACAAACATATCTTAAACAACACTCCCTTTTAAAAAATTTCCAATTTTTAGTAGTATATAGGGCGTTATACCGTAATCCCCCATTTCCGAACTGAAGCAAATTTGCGAGGCCCGATATTTATAAATAAAAATTTTAAAACAAATATAAGTAACCCTGCACGATAATAATCACATACAATATAAACACATTCGATTTTAGACAGTTGCGATGGCCCACTTATTTGCATTTGTAAGACATTACAAATATTTCACGGAAAGACGGAAGAAAACAGCGCACCAAATACCTAAACAGCAAATTTTAGGTAACCTCTGTTTCCCGCCCTGTTTCCCGCCCATCTTTCTTTGACAGCACATACAGGACACAGGAGTCTATACAAAGCGTTACCCTAACATGCTGCCGATAGTTTATACAAATTCAGATATAGTTACATTGTTCTATAATCTTTGGTATGTCCAAAAAGCCAGTTCTATCAAAGTTTTTGTATAAAACAGTTTTATGTATTAAGACATGTATATAAATCCACCTGCTTAAAATACAATAATGCAGAAATGGCGAGGTCATTTTTTGCTAAAATGCACTTTTGTACTTGGATTTAATGAGAATATAGTTCGCTGAAAATGTCTTAAATCGATCGGTGATTATTGCACTACAGTTGTCACAAAGAGACTGCACATGGAGTACAAATTACAGGCCTTCATAAATGTTTACAAGCTACGTGACCGTTGAGCTTAGGCAACCAACATTGCACGGCTGGCACCGTCAACTAAAAATCCCTAAATCTTATCACCAGTATTAATGATTCATTTACAAACCGTTACGTCTACTTTAGAGATAATGAAAACATTGTTCATACTCGAGATATCTCCGCTGTACGCAAATATTAAAATTCCAAAAAATATTCAGTCCAGTTCCTCTTTAAGACATTTTTAGCGGTTCTATACGCAAATAACTGTCCCTATATGTTCAACAGCAGAGACATGGCTTCAATAAAACATTCTTATTATGTTTACAATATTATCACAGTTATTAACTTCAAACATTCGTATAAAAAATGATCCATGATAAATATTTTCCAATTAAATTGCATGAAACTGGGAACTTTCCTTAAATATTGTTTACAACATCCAAACTCGACATTCAGTTCCAAAACAAAACTTAGCATTTGGTTTATTACAACCTAAAGAATAATAAAGTGACTTTGTTTTTACACCAAAAAGCTTTTGGGAAACCTCTGACGAGAGAAGGGGACTCTACTCGGAAAACTAGATACAACAACGGCAGATAGTATAGTTCCCAAATCTTCGAAACGTTTACTGTTAGAATTAGATTTTAAGACAGAAAAGTAGGTAGTACGACTGGAAAACTCATCTAAATTTCATGCGAAGACGTACATCAAATATTTTTTTTAATATTAAAATGTGTATAGTTAAATATATATGTATACTTGATTAGTACAATATAATTTTTGACATAAAACACTAGATTCTCTGTCCGGTGGACCACATTTATGCCGCGCTTTCAGTACCGAGTCTGACAGTTAAAATTACGTAAAAAAATTGCATAGCCCGAGATTATACCACAGTTTAATTAAAAACTAACTCACGCCCTTTCTATATCGACCAACCAAAATGACGTAATTAAAACAAATGCAAAAAAGAATAAAGAAATGGTCTCTTAATGCATTAAAGCGGATATTGCATTGTCGATAGATAAAACTGAGTTCGTATAAACATAAAAAAACAACGGACGTGAAATGATAAAAAAATTGAATACAAAATTCAAAAATTAGATAACAAAAATTAAAATTTTAAAGTTGCGTGTAAATTCGTACAAAACTATTTTCATCTTTTTTTTCTAGACGATATTTGTACCGAAATGTAAATAAATTTCCTGTGATTCTTAGCGACTATTTTATTTTAAGAGATACGACTTTTAAGGGATGATCTGACTCTAATCTGGAATAACCCAAAGGTGTACAAATTATAAAATCGATTTCTTTATTAAAATTGGAGTTTCATTTTATTAAGACACTTCTAATAGGCCCCTGTGAATCTTGGAAGACTGATTGTACAATCATTGCCCACTGAAGATTATTTTTTTCATTTTTATTTTATCACTGTATATTATTAAAAAATATACATATAAATCATCTATTGTCTAGAGTAGGCTTGAAGTTGTCGGCCAACCAATAGAGCGAAAAAAGAGGCCGTTTTTACACTTAAATATTACGGCAAATTTCATGTTTCTTTTGAAAAATACTTAGTAAATGAAAACCCAAGTGGTTTCCGCAGCAAAATCGTGAACAATTATTTTTTACACAATAAAAATTGCAAAAAAATTACATTTTTTATATCTTGAAAAATAATGATGGAATCTTACTCTCAATAGGACTTTTGTAGAGAGTAAAAAAACTGTAAAATGGTTTTTTGTGTGACCCGATCGGTTCATTTTTAGAGAAAATCTGGAAACACCTATGAAATAGACCTTTTTCCAAAAATTCATAACTCCGTCTAATTTGGAGCTGGAAAAACAATCTTGCGGAAAATGACAGATAATATATATAATAGTATAATGATAGATATATATATATAGATGACAGATAATTTAATCATGCGCAAGAAAGTTTCTGTCCGCTGCATAGTTTTTGCACAATTACATTATAAACAAATTGTGATGGGAAAATTGCTACAAATGCCCTTGAAAGTTGCACGAAACAATTGAAAACACGCTCGAGCCAGAGTCCTCCGCTCGCTACTTCCCTCACTACAGCGTGGAGCGTACTTTTGATCGTTTCGGGCGACTCTCAAGGGCATTTTTAGCATATTTCCCATTATCCAGACGAAAATCCGAGATATACAACTTAGAGATTTTGTCGCCTACTTTCAGATGCCGTTTTCAGAATTTAAATCGGATCATTAATAAATCGCCACGCTGTCCAAAAAAAGACACTATAGTAGGATCGTATTCGATGCAAAGTAGAGCAAAAAATTGTCGGTCTTTTATCAAAAGAAAATTGTCATTCATTTTTAGGAGGCGTAAGATGAACCACTACAACATGAAATATTGGATTTATAATAAATTACATTTAAAATAAATAGTTTGAGAATAAAGGAATTTTTGTAGGAACAAGGGTGCCAGACGTGAACTGATCCCTTCGTCCCTTCATAATGTGTAAAGAAATTATTCAATTTCTAATCCCTTTAAAAGCGTATTGCACTGGATCTCTTGACAGGCAAAGATTTATTACTTTGCATCGAATATGATTCTACTATAATTTGTTTATAATGCAATTTTGCAAAAACTGTGCATAGGACAGAAACTATCTTGCGCACGATTAAACTACATATTATTATCTGTCATTTTCCGCAAGATTGTTTTTCCAGCTTCAAATTTGACGGAGCTATGAATTTTTGAAAAAAGGTCTATTTTAGAGGTTTTTCCGGATTTTCTTTGTAAAAAACGAACCGATCGGTCTCTACAAAAGTCCTATTGAGAGTAAGACGATTCCATCATTTTTCGAGATATAAAAAAAAAACAAATAAACGTAATTTTTCTGCAGCTTTTATTGTTTTAAAAAAAATTGTTCACGACTTTGCTGGGGAAATCACCTGGGTTTTCATTTACTAAGTATCTTTCAAAAGGTAATATGTGATATTTGCTGTAATATTTAAGTGTGCCAAAAAATCTCCATTGGTTGGCCTTTTGAGCAAATTATAGAGTGTACAGCAAGGGGACAACCGGAAAAATCCATTACGTCCCGTATAGTTCTTACTATAAAGAATATAACAACTACACAATCCACCTGATGAGATATGACAAGAGACATTCCAATTGACCCTTTTCTATACATCCGTAAGGCAAAATAAATACAGAACATGCTAATTCATCGTTTTTACTATTAGTATGTATTAGATTAAATATTTTAATAACTTTATGGGTTTATTTTAGATTAGAGCCAAGTTAAATGGTTCCACGATATTCTTAATAAAGGTGAATGTTAGCAAAAAATGCATGTCGTATCATGCACACGGAAAACATTGAGCATTAACAAGTATTTTGTACTACGACTGTCAGACAACACATAATCGTACAGGGTGGACCAAATTCGACGAGTTACAACTTTCCTTTCTGATATTTAAGGGTCAACGACGATTTATCAAAAATATTCAGAGCTCGCTTCACTTTTTTCGCACCTCTTCAATTTGGCCAGCCCTGTACTCTTTCCGTATATAGCTAATTTTTAGTTGGCCGATGGACTAAATCCTACGCCGTACTGGTCACATGGAAACGTCAGGAACGCAAAGCAGATCGGGAGTTTTCTTCCTCTTAAGCAAGTAAACGTTCATGTTATCTTTACCTTTAACGTACACGGAACCCCTCGGTTCGAACTCGTACCGGCTCTCTAAAACCGGCAAGCAATGTTCGCCCACTTGCAACCTACCGCTCACTCCCGTCGAATCCATCCGCGAGGCGATATTCACCGCGTCCCCCCAAATATCGTAATACAGCTTGGTGTTGCCGATAACGGCCGCCGTGACGTCCCCGAAATTGTATCCTATCCTTAAAATGAGGTTAAATTCTAGTAGGTCCCTGTTAAAATCGTTTACTACCTTCTGCATCTCTATAGCAAAGTCTAATAAAGCGTATAAGTGTTCGTTAGGGTCCCTCTGTTGCTGACGCATGTAGGAATTCAACCCACTTGCCGCCATGAAAGTTGAGCCGATCGTTTTAATTTTCTCTACGCTCAGGAACTCCGGTCGGTCTAACAGCTCGTCGAAATCCCCGATGAGTTCGTTCAGTACCCGTAAGTACTCCCTCCCGCCCTCGTAGCTTTCGTCGTACATTTCGTTGAAGTTGACTATGCTGGCGAAGATGATGGCGACGTTTTTGAAGTTTTCCGAGTATTTAGCGTTTTTCTTTAACTGTTCAGCGACGTGTTCCGGCACGATGTTATAAATGAGATAGTCGGCTTGGTTTTTAAGGCTCTGCACCTTGTTTTTGTCCTTAATCGCGACGTAGTTCGCGTGGAAACTTAAACGGTACCGGATTTCGAATTCTCTCGTCAAGATCCACACTAAAACGACCAACAAGAACAGGTTCGTCAAGACTTCGGCTTTGTGGAAACGACAACCCTTAGAATACTTCACGTTTTCCGTGCTGTTAAAAACGTAAGGTTCAAGAATTGTCATATTGTTCACGGTTAAAGTTTCGATAATCGTGGCGTTTAGATCCGGTTCAACGCTAGTACAAGGATTCCCCAAGAAAAGTACGACAAACCCTAAAGAAACGACCGTGACAAGTATATTTTTCATCCAACAATTCAGCTGGGTAAAATTACAGAAATGCACCAGCCCGACAAACAACAAATAAGTGAAAATGTTGAGATGAAAGTACGTTGTATCTGTATCGTTGACAAAATTCACCACCACCGATACCAGAGGCAAGCTAACGAGCACCGCCCCAAACAAATTCCAACGGTAGAAGCGGATGAAACACCAGAAAATCATGTCGGTCCATCGAATAACGGATTTGATACAAATGGCGAGCCCGAGCAGCTGCAGCGCCAGGAACAACAGAAAAGTCACCAGCCAGAACTGCGTAACACCGTACAGCAGAACGCCACCCGCCGACACGAGCAAGAACACCAGAGTGGAAACGAACACATCTAAATAGGTGTTAAAGCTAGAATTAGCTAGAGTTGGGATGGCGTGAACGTCTTTCTTGGGTATGTAATGAACGTTCATCCTGTACTGCCTCTCCATCTCCTTGTTCTTGAAGAAGAGAGTTACCTTAGAGAGAGGCGGCTTGATGAAGTAAGAAGACCGTGATTTGGAGTTGTCTTGAACACATTTGATGAGTTGTCGATCTGATTGTTTACGCAGGTTTTGTATGCACGTTCCGAACTTGTCGAAAAATGGTCCGCCGAGTCTTGGCACTTGTGGGGCGTTTATGGAGCTTTGGCTGGACGTGTAGTACCCTGATACCCTGTGCTGTAGCATTTCTGGATTAATGAGCGCATTGTCTATCTAAAACAGAAAACGAACGTCGTTAGAAACTAATCAAAATCGCAAAATACGGGGTATATGCGGTATAATGCTTAAATATGTATTCTTATTTTTCTTTTATTCTATTAAAATTATTATTTGTCGTCATTAAAAACTGTTTTCTTTCTTAAATATTACCAAAGGTACTATTTTCTGTGAAGTTACCTTTCTCTCAAATTTCTGTGAAGTGGAAGGGACGGAGTATTATTATTCTGCAGCAGTGACTTAAAATGAAACGAAGAAATAAAATAGAAACTTTTCCTTACCTGTTGAATGCTGCTTCTTCTGCTGTTACTCTTGATTCCAGAATCCTTCCTGCTGTGATTTGAGTAATCTTCCAACATGGCTATGCTAGACAATCTACTCGGTACGTCCAGAGACCTCTTGGGCCTCTGGAGATTCGGTCCGGTAATAGTCGCGCTCCTCGCACGTTCCGTCGGTTCTAACCCATCGAAATTAGGAGACCTTCCTCTTCGAGATCTGTTACTTCCTGCACGTTGCAGGAACGAAATGTCGGGAATAGGAGATCTGCCGTACTGAGATCTGTAACTTCCTGTCCTCATGAATTCACTATTTGGGGAGAAATCGAACTGGCCGATGTCGCTACGGGACTGGCTGATGTAGGACTTTATGTCTAGGGTGTCTTTGATTAGTTCTTCCTCCTCGGGTTTCGTTATGCTTATAAATGAGTCTTTCTTTTTCCCGTTCGCGTTAGCTTCGATGATCGTAGGCACCTGTAATAACGATAAGTTAGTTTTATTCAATTAAAACGTGTCGTAGGAATCTACCTGCTGATAACCGTCTTCAGTCGACGGTTCCGCAGAGACCGTAAACACGTCCACCTCCAATTCCTGTCTTTGGTCTGACGATTTCCTCATAAACTTTGGTATTTTCCAGTTCTTTAACTTCACAGAGTACTTCCCGGAGCTCGCAGTGCTCGTGGGTGTTTTTATGTCGTCCGTACATGACTGTTCGTGTTTTTTCACGCTCCCCAATATATCCTCGTTCTCCATATCCAAAATACTGGGTAAACTGCTAGCTTTTATTTTACACACGTCGGGCGATAGCAAATTTTTATCCTGAGGCTGCGGTTTAGTGTAATTCGCTGACGTGTCGCATGAGAGTACACGTGAACGTGCTTGGGGGGACACCGATGTGTTTGATGAAGGGGGCGACACGAAGAGTTGGAGGGAGTTGGCGTATTTCTGACGGCCTTCTGCCCTGAAGGAACCACTGTACGATGGGGTTTTGTCACCTTTGCGACCCAGTATGAAATAGGTTTTCAGCCCTGCAATTTAACCATCTTACAATTTTATTTTCTTTTTACCGTAGGGCCGGCAAATCCTCCAGGCCCTATCCTTCTTCTTTTTTAGCAAAAAATTGAGTATAAACCTTTTAATTCCGCCCAAATTTTGAATGTGATTTAATCAAAACATATTTTAATACACTATTTATAAATTTTCTTAGATTTATTTAATATGTGTAACTTTAAGTAGAAATCAGTTACTATTTTGTTAAAGCACTGCGTTTAGTTTGTGTTTCGCAATGTCAATGACCTTTGACATTGACCTAGTTGACCATCTGATGTGATACGACAAAAAAATGTTAGGGCAAAAAACACACCGCTAACGTAAATTTGGCAAAACGAGAATAGTCGAATATGTCGCCTTCATTTTTATTTTGGTTATTAGTTTATCGAAATAAATTTGTATATGTTTCTAAAGGTCAGAGATAGCCCCCATTCAAAGTTATATCCCGCATAATTAATAATTTTATATGGAAAGTATTTATTTCCCAACTAATCTGATAAACAAACATAAATAATCATTTACACATAAGGCAAAGCTATATATAATCAGTTAATATTAAATATGATAAAGTTTTATCGATAAAGGATTATTAAGTGATTCCCATTGACAATTTATTTGTTTAATTTATTATCAGCAATTGGGAGCAATGAATTAAACGTTTATAGCAGGGGTCGGCAAGTAATTTTAGGTGGGGTCCGGATACTTTTGAAAATGTTTAACGAGGTCCAGAAAAAAAATTCATTTCTTATTCTTTTATTTTAATTTGGACTCAAATTTAATCTGCTTACTAACCATTAAGTACTCACACACTCACACAATTGTAAAGTACTAGAAAAAATGATTGGCACTTAAATGTAAAAAACATTTTTAAAATAATTTATTTGAGTAATTTATACTTTCAAAAAATTTTTGAAGGTCCAGTATTTTACCTTCCGCGGTCCAGACCTGGACCGCGGTCCGCCAGTTGCCGACCCTTGGTTTATAGCAACTTGTACTTTTTTAACTATCACGACATTTTTTTTTTAGAAAAAAATGTTTTTTCTGGCTCGCGTCTGTAAAAATGTAATTTTCTTAAAACGTTACATGCGTGTTTACATTAGATAAATATTGATACTACTAATAGTGTAATCTCTTGATGGATTATATGTATTTTAGATTTATTTTTGTACTGTTTACTAAAATCTTTACTCCGGATTACATGCCCTATTTTGAATTTTTCCTCAGTTTAATCTGCTATAAAACGGAATAATTTTTTCAGATATTCATTGAGCAGCTAAACATTTATTTTTTTTATTAACACCCACCGTTGTTATTGCGCAAATTAATATTTCATAAACACAGCAATATAGCAAGGATATAAAATACAATAAATTAATAAAATGACAATTAATAACTTGTTGTAACAGCAAAGTTATAAAAAAAAATTACGTACCAAAAACACATTCCCCCTCCTCCAGGTTGTACATGTCTTGGAGATAATTAACAGTCTTCTCAGATATGTGAACCATTCCAGGTTTACCCGTAGATTCCATTTTATTGGCCAAAGTAACGTCGTTACTCCACACGTCGAATTTAAACCTTCTCGTCCCGACGATGCCACACAACACTTTCCCCGTATGCACCCCCACCCTCATATTAACCCCCTCCTTCCTCTCCTGATCGAACTGTTTAATCGCCTGGATCATACTCAGCCCCATCTCGACGCAGCACAATGCGTGATTGGCCCTCGCCTCCGGACAGCCGCTAACACAGTAATAACAATCGCCTAGGGTGGATATTTTCTCGCAGTTGTGAAACTTGCACAGCAAATCGAACCTTTGAAACAAATTATTGAGAATGTCGACTAGCTCCTCGGCACTTTTATTACTGGACATTTTGGTGAACCCGACGATGTCAGCGAAAAGGATACTAACGTTCTCCATATGGTCCATGTTGAACGGTCGAAAGAGCGACCGAATATCGTTGGTAGAATCCGAGGACTGGCGCCTGGTGAAATTCTCGTCTTCCTTCTTTAACCAGTCGGCCACGCTCTTTGGCATGAGCGAATGTATCATGTTTTCCTTGAGACGTTTCTCCAACTCCAGCTGCCGTCTTACCAACAAGCTCTGTCCGACTTTCATGAAAGTATTCCTCATGCGGACGTTACTCATCAGACAGATATGGAAACCTATCAAATGGATTGCGACGTGACACAATAATTTCGTCACGCCCGTAGACACGCCATCTTTCTCGTTCGGATGTAAAAAGTAACTGAGTAATTCGAAACCGACCGAATAAAAGATTGCTATTGTTAAACTCATGTAGAGTTTCAATGGTACTAAAGTATATATTAGGAACAACATTTGAATGCACAACGAAAAGTTACCGATTGGGGGCGGATGGATCACAATTAGAAACGATAAACTTAGTATACTGAGTAGGAGAGATATCGACAATGACACAGAGATCATGTGATGACGGTATATTCTTGTATAAGTAAACAAGAGGGATACCGTTAAACATATTACCAGCAGGAGTAGAAGGGTACACAGCAGAGGCCAATAGCGATGATCTTGATCGGCGATAAAACCAGCTATTATAAAATATACCAGCCACGACACCGACACTATCGACATGTAAATTAAGGCGTACCTAAAAGCAAAAAAGGAAAATTACTTCGGATGTTCTTAATCTACAACTTTTTATTTTCAACTTCAATAAAAGTCCTTCTTCTACTCCTACTTTTTGTGAGCACTACTGCTTACCTGAATTTCAATTTATTGTGGAGATGGGAACTCTTTTTGTACTGTTCTTCGAGAATTTCAGAATCAAAGGTAGGGTCCCACCAGGATTTCTGTGCCGCTCTCTCGAAAGGTATTGGAAAAAACCTACCCCAACACCCTGACTCTCGAGACATCTGAGCCAGGTACACTTGTAATTTTGGATCGAGAGATAACTGAGTATTTTCATCATCCGCAAAGTCCGAAGGTTGATCATCTTGCACTTCCGATTTAATATAACTAGATGTAGAATTTCTTTCATTCGATCCCATTATAGTGGATTATTTTAAACAAAGCCAACAAATCCTACTGGGGTTCTTAAGACATTTTAGGCTTAATTATTTATATTAGTCTAGTTAATGCTGCAATACAAGTTTTATTATTATTGGTTATTAGTAAAAAAATTTATATTACCTCCGTGTTTGTAATTTTCAGTGCACATTATATTCCTTAATTTCATAAAAAGCCAATAATGTACACACACGGTAGCATTCGTGTGCTGCGAGAGCATGTTTATAATCTAAATTAAACATTACAGCTTTATGTCAACAATCAATGTTTGCACTATATTTTTACATATTTTGGGGCAGTTTCTCTAATTAGATTCAAATGAGTGGCATTTCTTTTTCTTTAACTCTTTGGGCAATACGAAAATCAAACATGTGTTTGCTTCAGAAGGGTATAAAAATCAGGAAGGCCAGTCATTTAATACAACAAACTTCTATGATTGATTTGACATTAATGACAGATTTCATAAGTTACCTTTTATTTCCCCACCCCCCCTCCACTAAAGGTTTTTGATTCCATGGAATCGTCTAATACTGTTAGGCGGAAAAATTACCCAACAGTTTTTTACACAACCGATAAAAATACATGCTATAGGGTAATCATTATTAAGGTACGCTATAATTTTATTGTCTTTTGAAGGCAATTAAAATTTACCAATTTTATGATTTACTGAAATAGTGAATTACTTTTTGCTTTATCGTAGATATACCTAATGCTAATAATAAATCATTTTTAAGTTTATAAAGAACTATTGAACCTGTTTAAATAATGATATCAAAGTCAAAGTTATGAACTTTGGAAATAAATACATTACGAACATGAACCTACTAGGAATTCAGAGTTCAGGACAAATGGTATCTATCAAATAAAATAAACCCGATTTTTATAGATTCCTATTTCTATTTCTAACAGTGCAGTGGTATTATTTTTTGTTTTGTGGTTGGTATTGTTTTCATTTGCAATCCGATGTTACTTTTAAGTTGGTAGTTGAGAAATAAGCATGGCGTTTGTATTCTGCGTTGTTGTCAATTTTCGTTTTATTATTTTGGTTTCAGTTTAATTTTTGGCTTCTGTTGCCAAAATAACATGTAAAAGTGTAGTTACACAAATGTGATTTTTATTTTAAATACTGCCATGTGACTTAATAAGCCCCCAAAGGACCTGTTCGTGTAAACGTTTGCCATAAAAGCGTGACCTTGAAACGTCGTATCAACACCACAAAATAAATCTCAGTGGCGGTACAATCCTCCTTTTCAAATTTGAAAATATTAACAAAAACTTTAAAAATGGAAAGTGGTAAAACTAATAGGGAATTACTAGATAATATAGTTATAGCGGATAATTCGGCCACACCCCAGTACATGATACATAGAATACCTGAAAATTCTCAACTTCTGAGTTCTGAACTATTGCAGCAACATAATAGTCTTGTTGTGGACTTGGGTGGAAATGACTTTATACCAGTTAGTTATACATCAGAAGACTTACTGTCACAAGATTTGACTGAAGAAGACAGAAATTTAGCTGCAGCTTTAGTTGCTGTCCAACTCAGCCAACAGCAAAAGCAGCAGCAACTTCAAGACGCTACGCTTCCAGCTCTTGTTACAAATTCAAATCTAGGTATCTTTTTAAACTTGTTACTTTTGTTTGAAATTGTAGTCACGCACCAAAAATATTTCCTCATATTCACTTGGCGGAAATGTGATATGAGCCAAATAAATATTATTTACATTTAACAATTTGAGTAAGCAAACAAACGAATAGTTACATAAAAGTAGAATAGAATATATTTACCTATGAGTAAACTTCATGATTTGAAGGGTTAATCTACCTTTTTAGGAAATAAAATTTTGGAAGATCCCCAATTAATTATCAGCGAAAAGGCTGGTAGTACGAGTTACTTACGTATTGTCAATTCGGAAAATCTATATGTCGAACAACAACCACTGCCTAAATTGGTAGACACCGTAAGATTCTCCTCGGTAAACCAAAACTTCTCTGAAGGTGCGGTAATTTCTCCTATTAAAAAAGAAGATGAAAAGGCCGATTCTGACAGAGAATCTCTAAGGTAAGATATGTTTTGTTCTCTTCAAGAAATACCTAAAAGTTATTTATTCTAGAAATGATCACCGTTCTTCTAAGAAAAGCTTGCCACACAAAAAGAGAATTTCACGAAAACTTAAAAAAACCACCACGACTACAGTCAGGAAGATAGTGTGCAATTTGTGCGAACAGACATTTAATTCTAATGATGACTTTGCCCAACACGAACTTTTATGCCAAACAACGATTACCCCGATCAATCAAACTAGCGTCTTTTCGTGCCAAATCTGCAACGAACCCTTCCAAGAACAGCTTAGGTAATGCATATTTATTTTCAACTTTACAACCATCAAATGTTTTTCGTATTTTAAGGTTTTTCGAACATTTAAAAAAGCACTATGAACCTGGAGGTACTGGCCCTACTTCTGCGATTCCCTCCACATCTACGCAGAAAACGGTGGAGGAACCGCACACGGAAAAAGTAATAGACCAAGCTGAGAACGACCGGCAGGAAAGCTTGTTGTCCAGCCTGTTAAACTTATCGTGTATAGAGTGCAATAAAACTTTTAGGAGGCAAAAAACTTTCGAAGCTCACATGAGGGACATCCATAGCAATAAAAATGAACCTCTGGACGAGTTCAGCGAACCGGAGGACCTCATGGAAGGTAAGACGACGTGTTGTACAGAAAACGAGAGTAATATCTTTTTAATACTTATTTTTTTCTTAGACTTTTACACAATGTTACTCAAACTAAGTAATAATCAGTATCTGAATCCAGAATTATTCTATTAACTTTTTTTTTTATAAATTTGACCCGTTTTTGGTACCCTACCTAATGTTTTAATTGCCAGTGTTGCGAGAAACAACTACTCCGAGGGCTATATGTCCCTACTGGCATTGAATTATACTCGCAACACCTAGTGCAACAGCTAGGACAGATGGAGCCATTTGTGCTCCCACGTACAATGTATTTCCTTGTCGTGATGATACGAAGCAAAACAGCTGGTTCGTTCGTCGGTTGTCTCACCTATGGCACACTGATGAGGACTAATAAGTCCGAAACCGGTCTGTGCCTGGTGGGTTAAACTGATGAACGACCCTAGCTGTTGCACTAGTTGTTTCTTGCAACACCGACAATTAAAACATTGTCTTCGCCCTCGAGAGTCAGCACAACAGATTGAGTCATTTGCGTTCCTGCGTACACCCTACCTAATGCCACTTTCAGGTATAAACGTTGTCGTGGACACAACCGATCCTCATGACGACGAAGACGACTCAAAGGCCTGGTACAGGGAGGAAGACCTCCACCAAACCGAAGAGGATTTAAAGGAGTTGGAGGCCGACAACGGCCACATCTGCCACCTTTGCAAGCAACCCTTCCCTCTGAGGGCCATTCTACTGCAGCATTTAGTCACTTGTCGTGCCAGCTCAGGAAATACAGGTTAGAGTCCTTCTTTTACGTTTCCTGAGCAAGTCGAGCCTTATTTAGTTTATTTTTTTTTAATACAATCATATCGTGAAATGAAACTGTAGTTTTTTACTAACGTTTTAATAGAATCGGCCCCGTTGGCAGTGGTCAAAAATAACAACAAGAAAAACAAGAAGAAAGCGGCGCTTCAGTGTACCGAGTGCGACCGGGTGTTCGCGCACCGCAATTCCCTGGTGTACCACATGAGGAGCCACACGGGCATCAGGCCGCACCAATGCGACCAATGCGGCAAGAGCTTCTTCGCTTCCAGCGCTCTGAAAGTGCACTTACGGCTCCACTCCGGCGACAAGCCTTACAGCTGCGAACACTGCGACAAGAAATTCAGGCAGTGGGGCGACCTTAAGTACCACATAACCTCCCTGCATTCGAACGAGAAGAACTTCCAATGCGAGTATTGCGGGAAGGAATTCGCCAGGAAGTACTCCCTGGTGGTTCACCGGCGGATTCATACAGGTATGCCCGATTTGAAAGAAAACGAGTGTGAAAAATATTTATTTTTAATTTTTTCGTCTTATTATTTCGTTTGACCTACTTTTTGCAGGCGAGAAAAATTACAAGTGCGAATTCTGTGGGAAGACGTTCCGCGCCTCCTCGTACCTCCAGAACCACCGGAAGATCCACACGGGCGAGAAGCCCCACATGTGTTCGATTTGCGGCAAGCCGTTCCGCGTCAGGTCGGACATGAAGCGGCACCAAAAGACTCACTCGAAGGGCCCGCCCGCTCACAAGACATCGTCGAACTTGTCGGCTCTCGCCAAGGTGGAGAAGCAGGAAGTGGAGGAGGTGGAGGAGGAAGAGTTAAGCAGCGAGTTACACATCGAAGACGAAGAGGCGGCGGGGCACCTTCTGACAGAGTATAATCCCGAGCAGTTGGAGGTGGACAGGACGGTTCGAGTACCAAATAGGAACTTGTAAGTGTCGTCGGGGTCGTTAAGGTATGAAATTACGATTTATTTTTTTTTCAGGTACATAAACGGTCACGAATTATTTTTGGTCACTTATCCCAACGAGATCCGCGCCGCCGAGCCCTCGTCTTCGACTTCGTCTTGGGTCCACGCATCTAATTCTTAGTTTATTGAACGTTGGTTTACTGTAAAAGGATATTTCTACTATTTACTGAATATCATGTATATACACTTTTTTTTAATTGTAGTTTTTTAATTACCCGGAGACTGTATATATATTTTAAATAATGTATCGCCGTACATTTTTCTGTAAGTAAAATATAAGGAAGTTGCTACATTTTTGTTAATAAAATAGTAAATTGGAAATAAATTATTTACTGAATGTTACACGTTTTTACTCCCTGTGTACAAACTAACGTAATTTCAAAACCGTGATAAAAAAACGCTTCACAAATGGTTTTAGGTTTATATTTACAGACAAGTACAGGAGCAATAAACTTACAGCTAAGTATAATTAAACACTGCGTCTGGAAACTGTCTTGATATTGATATCATAGATTTTGACATCATTGGCTCAGTGGGTGCTTGAGCCCCACGTTGGGCGCCATGTCGTGGATTTTAAAAAGTCACTGGCTCATTAGGTGTTTGAGTCCCACGTTGGGCGCCATATCGTGGATTTTAAAAGGTCACTGGCTCATTGGGTGCTTGAGCCCCACGTTGGGCGCCATATCGTGGAACCCGATTGGATGTAGGGATTTCTGATGTTGACGCCCCTTGCTGGGCTCCATCTTGACACGTAACTCAAACGAGCACCTGCGGTTGCCGCTTGGAATCATCCTTCAGTATGTGTTGCCTTTGTACGGGATCGGATGGAGTTATTGAGTCCATGTTAATTGGCCGCTCGCCAATCAGGGGACTTCAGGGCGTCTCCTCCTTGACGATAGCCGTAAAGGATGACAACGGAGAAAGAGCGACAGACTCCACGGCATTCATCCCCGAGGTACTTTACGGTTATCTTCGATGAGAAGACGCCCGGGTTACCGGGAAGTCCCCCTTATCGGCGAGTGTGCGACTAACATCCCTGCACCGCAGGTAAAAGTGGAATCAGACTCAACCATTCCATCTGATGCCATACAAAGGGCCACACATCCTATACACGTCTAGAGGCAGTCCAGTAGGGGGCGTCGACGTCAGAAAAGTCTAAGGCTAATCGGATTGAACGACATTAACCTCAACTTGACTAATCTTTGAGTTTTTTGATTTCGTTTTTTGCTTATAACTCTGAATTTTTTCAAATTTGGAATATTTATTCATTTAATTTTCAATTCCTTTAAAAATTTGAAGACATTTCATGAAAAAATAAAAAAATGTAACAAAAATTGAAACAAATCAACTGAATTCTTACTTATTTTATGGTAAAAACAAAATAAAAAAATCAACTTTGAGGATATGTATCTCAACGCCGTGTTTTCGAAAACTTGCGAAAATTTGCCGTAATACCCCCTCCAGATTTTTTGCCCGACACCTTGTTTAAAACTATGTATATTCACTCCTGTATATGCTGAAAACTATCTTGCAAAACCAAGATTTTAACTGAAAACACCTTTGCTTGGAAGAGAATGTGGCGGATCTTAAAGAAAAAAATTCGATTGGAATAAAAATAGTCATTTTGTTGTATTCAAACTTGCCGCCCGTTGTTATGTTGGTGACGAAATTGGCAGAAAGGAAGGAAGTTGAGAAGAAGAGAACAAGGAATAAAAGCTTTTAAGTTTCGATTGTTATTATTATTGTAGTCAGTGCCCATCCCCTAGTCACCTATACTACCAAAGTACAAATATCAAATTAGCTTTTTTAAATCTCTACGAAGTATTTTTCCTGCAGGTGTCTTAGGAATATGTTCCAAAAATGTTACCCCACCGGCTAAATGCTTGTACTTTATAACTTTTGGAGCTACGAAATCTTCAATATCTTTGGGTTGCAACTTAACGCTTTTCTTCAGCACTACGAAGGCCTTGGGGGCCTCGCCTAGCTTTTCGTGCTTCACTCCTATAACGGCGACGTCCTCTACCGAAGGATGCTTTCTTATAAGCTATATAAAAAAATGCTTATGTTAACATCTATGCTCTACCTTTATGTGGGGTCTTCCGAAATTCATGCAACAAAATTTATGCGTACCAAATTTAATGATTCTCGTACAACAGGGTTCTGAGATATAAAAGAAAGATTATTCTTAGGGGCGCTTCGAAAAATTAAAAATACGGGTCCCTCTAAATTTGTCTTAAGAATCTGTGACAAAATTTTGTTGCATGAATTTCGGGACACCCTGTACACGAAATTCAAATGTATATATTTTTTAAATAGACCCAAAGACACATATATGTGGTAACTGTTATTCCTTGGAACTGTAAAATCTTAAGCATGCTGATTAAAGGAAAACTGTTAGCTGTGTAGTGGGTCCGCCCCTACAGAGCCTAGCCCAAGAACAACAAGGGAAGGTCTAAGATTCCTAACTAGGACTGACGAAGTAATGCAATGTAAGTCCATTACTCATGGCAACTTGGTGCATAGGCCACAGCATAACAACATGTGTCTTAGGTTTACTTTGATTTTTCGATTAATTTTGCTGAATAACAATTTTTTTTTAATAGAGTAGCAATTGACGAGACATTTCCTACCCCAAATTTCAGAAAAATCTGTTAAACCGTTCTGAAAATTAAAAAAATACTATTTCTTTATGAATTTTAACACCCTGTATCTTTTAAGCAGGCATTTTGGAACAAAGGTTTATTCGGACAATTATTTTGTTTTGGCGAGAAATTACGGTTAAATTTTTTACACCTAATTATGACTTGTATATACAGGTTGTTACAAATTTGCTTCTCACTAGAGATCTCGGAAACGGTAAGAGATACGAAGTAGCTTCAATGGGGGCAAAGGTGAGTAATCAGGGGACCAATATTATGCCTCTGAAAAATCAAGTCTAACATGATTAGTTTTTGAAATATTTGAAAAAAAAACGAAATTTTGGAAATCCGTTGTTGTTTCATTTCAACCTTGTTTGAGGTGATATTGAAAAAAGAAGAACACTACCTCGTGGCAACTTTTTGCCCTCTATCTAATGGCACATCAATTTTTATATGTAACGTTTCGTCTCTCCAGGACCATCATCAACTTCATTTTTTTAAATACGACCCTGTAAATTTTATTACATTCTTTTCAAATAATTCGAAAACTAATCATGTTAGCCTTGATTTTTCCGAGGCATATTGTTGGTCCCCTGATTACGCAACTTTGCTCCCACTTAAGCTACTTCGTAAGCCTGTATAAAAAAAAATTAAACTTACACTCTCGAGTTCGGCGGGTGCTACTGGAAATCCCTGTACTTTAATCAATTCTTTCAGTCTATCGGTAATAAATATGTGACCATCTTCGTCGTAGTAACCGATATCACCCGTCCTTACCCATCCGTCTTCCATGAACATTTCCTTAGTCGCTGTTGGGTTGTCCAGGTAACCTTTCATAACCTACAACTCGTTATGAACACTAAATCTGAACGTTCTAGTAACGACGAGGTACCTGTGGTCCTTTTATACATAATTCACCATTTTGCTTCATTCCCAGACCGTTTTGATCTTCGGAATTTTCAATAGAAACAAATTTTGCTTGTGTATTAGGAACCAAGAAACCACATCCTCCTATTTTAAGACCACCCTCGAAAGCCCTTGTTTGTACCATGTTAAGGGGAGACGTTTCTGTCATTCCGTGACCTTGAATTATGTCTATTTTCCCATTAGTGAGATCTCTGAAATGCACTATATCGGTTTTTCCCAGAGGCGCAGCACCACATAACATTGACCTTACAGAAACTAGGTCCTCCGAATGATTTATGTGAGTGCTAGTGTTTACCATGTGGACTGAAATGAAATTTTTACACATAAATCTACTTGGTAAATATGAATCTCACCGATAGGCGGCACAGCAGGGATAAACGTTGGACGATACTCTCTTAAACCGGTTAAAAAAAGTTGGCTAGTAAATTTTGGAAACGTTATTAATTTTAAGCCGTCACACAAGCCGTGGATTAAGATCAGCATGAAACCATAAATGTGAAAAAACGGTAGGAAAGCAAGTGAAACCTCATCTGTGAAAAGAAAAATTGTTTCCGTTTTCGTTCCACTAAAGTTATAAATAATTACTACCTCCGCCTTTTTTGTAGAAGTCGAATTCGTCCACGGCCGTCTGCATCAAATTAGATACCAGATTGAAATGGGTCAGCTGCACCCCTTTCGGTAAACCCGTGGTTCCACTCGAAAACGGCAACAATACTACGTCGTCGGGTGTAACACTTTTCGTGTATATCTCATCAAAATTTTGCTGTTTAGCTGTTACATAATCGAAGAAATTTATTGTACCTGTAGACAGAGACGTGTTTTGCTGAAGAAAAGAAAAAAATTTTATGTCTTCTAAGTCAACTGTACAAGGCTGCGTCTGAAGATGTTGGACGAATATGATGAAACTTGGGGCTAATGACATAATTAATATGTTGTCTAATTGTTTAATATAATAACCCAGTTAAAAGCAATAGAGAATGACTATTTCATACTTACGTGGACTTTAACAGCGATAATGGGGATCTTCAAATTGTCACAAACACTCCTTAATTCTGTTTCTCTTTCAGCAACGCCGAACAAAGCTTTCGCCTTGGACAACACTAACTGTTTCTTTATTTCATCTAAAACAGAGCATTTCACACGATTAAAAATTAATTGTGGCGAAATACTGAAACTAGAAAACTTAAACTTACCAGGTGTATAATTTGGATTGATCGGCGTGATTTGGAGTCCCGCTTGTATAGAAGCAAGAACAACGATCGGAAATTCGGGCAAATTTGGTAGTAAAATTCCAACACATGATTTCTCCTCGAGCTTCAAAGAGTTTCTCAAGAAGTGAGCAAGTGTTAGTGACTTCTTTCTTATCTCCAGAAACGTGTATCTTTTTTTAGTTTCTATGCATTCCTACATGATAAGCATGTGAAATTCTTAATTTTAGTTTTGATAAACAACAATTTACACTAGTAAAACTAATTTTATATTTACCTATATATTATTAACCATCAAAAACTACAATAACAAAGATCTTACCACAGCCACTTTATCAGTCCATTTATTTATGTTTTCCAGAAGGTATTCTGATAACAAAACATTTTTGGGGATATCTATATCTGGTCCTGGAGATTTAACTATGTTTTTAAATGTACTCGATGCTCTCTTACAGATTGAAAACGGCTTCAAAATCCTTAGCATATTAAAGTTTAGGGTCAATTACAACTACTACTAAATTACAGTTTTATAAAACATTGTATGATGTTGCATGTTTATATATGTATTTACTATTTGACCTTCGACGCGTGGCATGATAACAATAATAATGTAATCAAGTGATGATACCAGTTGATTATAAGATTACTGGGTACAAAGTGTAACCAAAAACTTCGCAAATCTTAAGCAAAATCTTTTTTTTTTGTGTCAGAAAATGCCTCATAAAAAAATTCTAAGGTGTCTAGAGGTATTATTTTGTGGAAAAAATAATGTATTTGTGTATAGTTTATTCAAAAAGAATAAAAAACAGTATATGGTTCACAAGTAAAACAATACTTAACTCATTACTTAAACTAAAATTTAGATTTAATTCCTCATTGGAAAACGACGTTCTGAAACAGAAAAAGCAATTTAGAAATCTTTGTGAATTAATGAAATTGAATAAGAAAAGAAAAATAATTTAAATTTTTTTAGTCTAATTATTTAATTACAAAACAGGAAAAAAGATGGAGGTTTAAGGCAATCCAGAAAATCTTTGAAACATTTAGGAAATTACTTACATAACTTTATTTTTATATACTTAATGAAACCGTGATAGTTTTTTTTCCATCTGTACAACAAATATATATTTCAGTCCCTTCTAGCATGTTAAGTTTTTTTAATTATAACGATAAATTCTTTATCTTTACTGATTATTATACTTTCAAAAATATTAATGAATGACTTGCTATTTTCTTGTTTTCCAACAAAATTATTATGAAATAAAATTCTGCATTCATTCCTGTATGTCTGATATAATCTTTCATCTGTGTTTTATTTATATGCATGTGATCCCTCACAACATAAAATGACTGATAAAAATGTTTCTTATCTAAAGTTACATAAAGCTATCTATAAAATCAGCGCTGACATTGAAATTTGAAATAAGAATAAATACGTAAATAAGTTATGTTTATTTAGGATATAATTTTGAATGGGTTGGTTTCTCAAATTTTGTCGTGAAACCTGCATTTTTTTAACCTTTTTTTTTTGTAATTTTCATACCAATCTGCTAACATGCTCTATTACCCCTAAAAAAACTGACCCCCACTGAAAGCTATAACCTCTCTAATGACAAAATTAGGTTATCTAAATTTTTTCATGCATTGTTTTCAAACTTACCGCTCTTAAGTTTTTCAATACAAAATAAAATGTTATCTCCATAAGAAAGTAGGTAGTCAAGGGGTATTACTTCAGAAAGTCTTTGCCATTCCACAAAGACCCGTTTACGATATTTCAAATACTTGTCTTTATCGTGTCTGGAAAATTCTCGTTTTAAAAATAATTTTTTTATATTACTCTTCAGTTGATGAGAAATTACATTGTGTATTATATGATCGTTAATACATTTTGGAATGTCGGCACTATAACAATGTTTCATGTATTCCCTCAAATTGTTTCTGGAAATGTAATTTTCCAATCTCGTCATTTCTCGTTTTGTACATTCATGCCAATAATTGTAATCATCAAAGTCTAATAATTTGGATCTATCTCTCTGTTTTAATAATGTTTTCAGGTTACTATTCAGTTCTATCTCAATAAAATGTATTAATTTTTGTAAACAATCGTTCTCTGTAGAGTGAACCTGAGAGCAGAGAACTTCGTCATTTAAGTTAGACATTTCGGTAAGTGTAACATCATTATCGTCATTTAATTTAGCATCTATATTTACGAATGGACTTGAAGTATTGGTTTCAGGAAATTCCACTGCTTCATCAATCATTTCTACACCAGAATCAACAGAAACAGTATCGCAATCGTCAATAATCTGGTGAGCATATGAATCGATAACTTCAACTGTTGAAGACACTGTACTCTCAGAAATTTTATTAACCTCTTGGTCAAAGTCAACTGCTTGGGTATTCCGACTCCTATTTCTTTTTTTACCTTTTGGTCTTTTATTTCTTTTTAATTTCAACATTTTCTTTGAAGGAGGCTTGAGAAACATTTTGTAATTTATTTCGAAACCATAATACGCTTCAGTATTGACTTCACTTTGTTTTTCATATTTTTCAAATAAAGCCTCCCATTGTTTACGTCTAAACTCAATTTGCGCTTGTGAAATATTAGGTATATCTATAAAACATAGCGTGTTAGAACAATCCTTTACATATTTATCTAATATACCTTCATTCATTTTAAAAATCCTATATAGAATAGACACATACAACACCGTACATAAAACATAGACAGATAAAAAACATATATAAGAAACATAAAATGACATAAAATTGACATAAAAATTATAACACAGACACAAGCTTTGTTCGTAAACCTTCCACTGCTGCACTAGTGTAGTAATACCATTGTTTATATAGTTACACTATGTAACTATAGCCCTTTTCTTTTACTCATGATTTGGGAATCATAACGTGTTAGGATCCGATGGAAACCAATCAGATTGCTAGATTTCGGAATTTCGGATTGTAACGCGTTATGATTCCGAAATCATGAGTAAAAGAAAACAGCTTATATAAACAATGGTAATACGTTGTTCGTTTATTGCAGTGTAGCCAAGTGCAGGTATAATCCAGGTGTTCGAAAAGTCCAGTGTAGTGTAATAGTGCAGAGACTACTACACTGGCTAACAAGGTGGTGCAAAAGTGTAGTGTAGTATATTTGTGGCGCGAAAATGAAACTTTTATCACAAATGTCACATCTTGGTAGATATTTTAGATAGATCATTAAAAATTTGGCAATATTTGATTTTACTCTGAAATGGCTGATAAATTCGACTTCCTCACAGTTTCGAACAAGTTCTATAAAATTTGTAATGCACTTTCTTTTATTTTTTTGGAAACAGGTCTCCAATAAAACATGAATTTTTCTTTTTTTACGAAGGTAATCATCATCTGATTCCGATTCGCTTCCAGAGTCACTAAATAATTCACTCATCACAAATATTTTCTCCATGATTTACAATTAGGTTATGCCAGTTTAAGTTTACCCAAATTGAATTAACGAACAGGCAAATGTTTTCTCTAAAAGTGGTGCACAACTATTATTTTAGTGTAACACTGAATTCCACTACACTACACTACACTACACTACACTACTCTACACGTTGCGTAGGTTTACGAACAAAGCTACAGATTAGATTAGATTAGTACCAAGGATATTTATAACCTCAATGTTTTGTATTAAGACCATTAAGCACAGATTGTGGTTTTAATAGTTTTAATAATTGATAAATATGTCTAAAAAAAATAACGAAGTAATTAAAAATGAGAACACAGTGCAAGCTATCGTAATTGCGGATACATTTGGTGATGAATTTGTACCAATTTCGAATGATATACCACATGTAAGTTGTAAATATGCTACTACTCGTATTTTGAATGATGCAATAATTAAACATTTCTAGGCCCTTTTGCCACTAATTAATAAGCCATTAATAGATTACACACTGGAATTTCTCTCGCTTGGTGGTATCGAGGAAACTTTTTTATTTTGTTGTACACATGTGGACGACATTAAAGATCACATAAAGTAAGTAGTTACTTGTTCCTCAAAAAACTTTTTTAAGTTACCAAGAAATTTTCAGTAAAAGTGTTAAAAATAATGAGGTGTGGACATTAACTATGAAAGTCAATATAATTGTATCTGAATCCTGTCGCTCTTTTGGCGACTGTCTGCGTGATTTAGATGCCAAAGGACTTTTGAGGGGAAACTTTGTCTTATTAGAACCTGGCACAATTTCAAATATTCAGCTGCTGCCTCTGATAAAGAAACATAAGTAAGTTATGCATTTTTTATTTTATTGTGGCTGCTTGGACTTATTTCATTTTTAGTGAGCTTACTAAAGTAGATAAAGGCGCCGCTATGACAGTTGTATTTCAAGAAGCAGGCATTAATCATATTAGTCGATGTCCCCAGGAAGAAGTTTTAATTGCAGTTAATTCTCAAAAAAGAATTCTGTCCTATAAAAAGATGTGGAAAAACAGAGAGAGAAAAGTAGATTTTCCACTAGTACGAGCTTATAATTATTAATTGGTTTTATATTAAAGGTAACATTGTATTTTAGGAAATATTTTTGGAAAACCCTTGTGTGTCATTGATGCATAATTTAAAAGATGCGCACATAGCGATATGCTCTCCCTCTGTTCTGCCACTGTTTTCCGATAATTTCGATTTTCAAACCAAGGACGATTTCGTCAGAGGTTTAATTATGAACGAGGAGATTTTGGGAAGCACGGTGTATTGCCATATTTTAAAAGGCAGTCAGTACGGGGGTGCCGTGACTAGTTGGCGGATGTATCAAGCGCTGAGGTTAGACTTGTTATTAAATCTAGTCTAGTCTAGTTCCAGTTTTAATACAATTTTTTTAGCCAAGAACTGAGACAAAATTGGATTTACCCAATTGTCCCATCTAGGAAAAGGTAATGCACAAACGAATAACGTCTAAATGTTTATGATTTTTTTTTAATTTCAGGAACAGAGCGTTAAAAAACAACGTTATGGTTGGCGAAGGAACAGTTTTCGATGATTCGACGTTCCTGAACAATGCTGTGCTGGGCGAACATGTGTCCATAGGTAAAAATGTGAAGATAGAAGATGCCTTCGTATTATCGAATTGTAAAATCGAGGACAATGTCATAATAACGCACAGTGTTGTCGGCCCAAGTTGCGTAATTAAAGCAAAAAGTAAAGTGACCGCCGGTAGCATCTTGGGAAAAGGTTGCGTTATTGAAAAGGACACGTTTATCGAGAACTCTTTGGTGCAGGCGAATGAACCAGAAGAATGTAAGTATTACTAACGATTCATGTAACAAAACTATCCCCCGATCATTTTGAGATCTGATAATTTTTTCGTTGAAATTGTTTATCTATATCCCAACTTTTTTACCTCTCGGTTTTCACGCTATGTAATACTGTGAATAATTAACATAAAAACTATGTTTGAATAAGCCTAATTTTAGGCGGAAATGGTGATAAGTTAGGACGAAAAGCCTACCGGTTACGTATAGATGACGACGAAGAGGAAGACAGGAGCATTGCGATATTGGCTAAAAAAATGTCACGGCTACATATTCAAGAGGAAAATTATGAATCCGAGTATTATTCAGATGGCTTTAGCGACAGCGAAGCTGATGGTTTGTCTTACACGCAGTCACCTGCCCCGGACGACACAAAACGTATGTTTTTTTTTTATGTGCTTTGTAGTTTTATCACTGCCGAATGTTGAAAACACGAAATAGTAACATTCACCCGCACCGAAGTAATATCGTAGTTAATTCTATAATGTGCTTGCTCTTCTAAGTATCGGTTGTTTGAGATGACTGTTATCGTAACCTTTCGTTATCTTTTTTCAGTGTTCTTCACTGAGGTAATAGACAGCTTGACCAGAGGTTTTGAGGATAACCTACTGTGCGACAATCTTATTCTCGAAATCAATTCGTCACGCTATGCCTACAATGTCACCGTTAAAGAGGTGATGTGATTTTTTCTTCCATCCTTATTATATGTCTAAATGGCCTTCTTTATATTGCATATAAGACAAAATACAAGTTAGACAATCAAGCTTAAGAATGAATGTACTAGTTGGCAAGTCTTCACTAGGACCTCTGTCGCCATCTAGTATTTTCATTGCTAAGCTTGACTGGCTATCTAACTATATTACATTTGATCTATAGATCTTTGTTCCGCTTTTTGGCTAATACCTATAGCATTAGTTATAGTAGCATTAACAGCATTAGTCGTTTCTAGTTTTGTAAAAAGCTCAATATTAACCCTTGATTTATAATTGGCTAATTGTACAATATTTGAATTATGTCCAAACTGAATTTTTTTTTTAGGTGAATTTCAATGTCATAAAAGCTATCTTGACTATATCATTGCGACATCCTATTGGAGCTCAGTATTTCTCTCACTTGTCTCGTTTGTTGTCATACTTTGCTCCAGTCCTGAAAAACTATATACGTAACGAATCTGCAATGATCGACTGTTTACAAGCTGTTGAGGCGAGTATACGTTTTGTCAATAAAAAGTTTTTTTTTCTGAAAGTCTTATTGTTTTTAGGACGTGGCTACCTCAAACGAGGAACTTAAAGAAAAATGGGTGATGTTTGTGTTGCAGTATTTCTACGATAAGGATTATGTATCCGAGGACGCTATTTTGGATTGGTTTTCGACATTGGATCAAAAAGGTAAATTTCACACGCAAGTGAAGCCATTTACGGACTGGCTTCAAGAGGCCGAAGAGGCTTCTTCGTCCGAAAGTGAAGGGAGTGATTAAAATTTGTATATATTTTATACATGTTAATTTAAATAAATATTTTTATTTGGATTGTAATTTTTTTTATTTAAATATTAAAGTTCTAAGTAATAAATGATTGAAATATTACTATTTTTTTATCGTAAAAAAACAAGCAGGAGTGGGCAGGTCATAAATTTATTGTAATTCAATTTGTCCTTTTTATGCTTTATTTTGTATTTCCATACAAAAAAAGTAATACTTGGAAGGTTTATATTGTATTTGGTTCAGTGCGAACAGCCGAGCTGAACGGACGTGCTTGTTTGTGAGGTGAAGTGATTGCAACGAGCAAAATCTACCTGCCTTTATTAAGGCTACCTGGAAAGAATCCCTTTCTTTCCTTTTAATCACCGACCTAATCCCCGGCTAAGCATAGAGGCCGTCGGCATCTTTGTTCAGGTACCTGTCCCGGGGTTATGCCCAGGTAAGTTTTAACTTATTTATCAGTTATTTGCATTACTTTAAAATACATTTCTTTAAAATTGCGACCCCCGACAAACAATATACCAGACAGACAAATACACCAAAAGACACGTACGCCCCCGTAAGGGGGCATCCCCACACGACTAACACTTACACACCC